AAACAAGCAACTGCTCTGATTGCAACATGAAAAAGATCTCAGTAGCAACCTGGTGTGTGAAGGAAACGTTTCCAAACAGCTGTCTGTCGGCTTCTGCTTCAAGAAGTGGCAAAGGGTCCTGAGAGTGTTCTCCACGGCTTTAGCGTCTGATGGATCTAACCACCTTGGAAACTGCAAGAAACAAGAATGTTAGGAGCGACAGCTGCTAGATGCATTTCCTTTTGTTTACTGACTAGTCACATGGTCCTTGGTTTATGGGAATACGTGTTGTGGGAGGGGAAAAGAAATTACTAGAACTTTAAAAGTTTGTTGTGGTTTTTCCAAAAACTGGTAAGAGATGCAGCAGACTGGCCTTGGCGTTCTCTGCATCTGGAATCAGGCACCATCGCTTACACATGGCTTTGAGTGCATTGCTTGAACTCTACGCCTCAGCTTACACATCTGCAAGATTGTGATAAATTTAAGCACCACTTCTCAGAGATGCTGTGAGGATTACATTATTTCTTTCTTTTAACATTTTTGGATGGCCATCTGTGTATCCAGAACTCCACTAGGCCCCTGGTTAAACAAAACATCTTGCTTGAAAGCAACCATATTCAGTGCCTGCCCCTTAAACGGGACTGCCTAAGTGGGACAGAATCTGAATTTCATGAAAAGGCCAAAAAAATTATCCTTCAATGCGGAGGGAAAGCTCCAGGCAATGAGCTCCACCGTAGTGTCTGCTGCCGCACGATGTCACGAGGCCAGCCCAGCTCCAGACGAAGAAAAGTCTTTCAGACCAAAATTCAGAGTAAAAGTTATTACCACAACCTGGGCTTCTAACCTCTCCCCTTGGCGATCCTCCTGACGTGTCACTCAAGGCAATACAAAGCAAACCTACAAGTCTGATCTAAGACATAATTTTTAAGTCACTTCTCTAAACCCTGGCATTCCTTTCCAAAACATTGTTTTTCTTTCTCTCTCTCTTTTTTTATTCTTCTGAGACAGGATCTCACTCTGTCGTCCAGGCTGGAGTGCAGAGGTGTCATCACAGCTCACTGAGGCTGGACCTCCGGGGCTCAAGTGATCCTCCCACCACAGCCTCCTGAGTAGCTGGACTGCATGTGTATGCCGCAGCTGGTCATGAATTCCTGGCCTCGGGGATCCTCCTGCCTCAGCCTCCCAAACTGTTGGGATTACAGGCGTGAGCCACTTGCACCCAGCCTCCAAGACATTTTTATCCTTGTCAACCCACCGTCTCTGTTGTTTAGTTATACCTAATAGGCTTTGCAAATGAGTTAGCCAAATAAATAATTCACATGATGTTCACATATACATGTTTTTAAACACATGTAAACCAGGTGACCTTGGCCAAATTACTTAACCTCTTTGAACCTTGGCTTTCTCATAAAAATTGAAATAATAAAAGGTCTTTCTCATGTGATCATCGTAAGGATTCAGAATGTGAAGAGTCTGACTTAGCACAAAAGCTGGCATCTGGGAATTATAGGAAGCCATCAAGTCATCCATTTCACTACTATCTGAAATACCAAATACTGAACATCCATAGCGGAGGGACTGCTTTGCCAAATGTTCACCTGGACTCTTTCTGCAGACTCACACCAGGTCACTGTCACGCACGATGGTCCTGGACCCCATCTGATACCAGACCTTTGAGGAAGGACTCCTTGAGGGCTCCATAGGCTTTAGTTAGATTTTAGATCCTTAGACCAAGAGGCATCTCGAATACATGCATGTGGGACTTAGTCCAGAGCCAAGACCTCTTAAGACATTTTTAAGTTTTTTTTTTTATTAAATTGAATAATTTTATTTTTTATAAATAGAGATGGAGGGGGTCTCACTATATTGCTCAGGCTGGTCTTGAACTCCTGAGCTCAGGCGATTCTCCCACTTCAGTTTCCCAAAGTGCTGGGATTATAGGCATGAGCCACCATGCCTGGCCTTAAGTTTTATTTGATCCCAATGTAGCAGGGCCAGAATTAGGAAAAATGTACATGCGTCAGTCCTTTATTTATTATTTATTTATTTTATTTTATTTTACTTTTTTGAAATGGAGTTTCGCTCTGTTGCTCAGGCTGGAGTTCAGTGGCATGATCTCAGCTCACTGCAACCTCCACCTCCTGGGTTCAAGCGATTCTCATGCCTCAGCCTCCTGAGTAGCTGGGACTACAGGCATGCACCATCACACCGGCTAATTTTTGTATTTTTGGTAGAAACGGAGTTTCACCATGTTGCCCACACTGGTCTTGAGCTCCTGACCTCACGTGATCCACCTGCCTTGGCCTCCTAAAGTGCTGGGATTAGAGGCATGAGCCACCGCACCCTGCCACTGACCACCTTTATTTTTTGAGACAGTCTTGCTCTGTCTCCCATGCCCACTGCAGCCTCCACCTCCCAGGCTCAAGTGACCGATCATCCCACTTCAGCCGCCCAAGTAGCTAGGATTACAAGCACTCACCACCATGATCAGCTAATTTTGTTTAGTTTGTGTAGTGACAAGGTCTCACTATGTTGCTGAGGCTGGTATCGAACTCCTGGGCCCAAGTGACCCTCCCGCCTCAGCCTCCCAAAGTGTTGGAATTACAGGCATGAGTCACCACACCAGCCCTTTCAGTTGTTTAAATAAACTTTCTTTTTTTTTTTTTTTTTTTTTTGAGACAGAGTTTCACTCTTGTTACCAGGCTGGAGTGCAATGGCGTGATCTCGGCTCACCGCAACCTCCGCCTCCTGGGTTCAGGCAATTCTCCTGCCTCAACCTCCTGAGTAGCTGGGA